TGTGTGTNTTGGGAGTGAGTGTGCGTGTGTGTGTGGGAGTGAGTGTGCGTGTGTGTGTGGGAGTGAGTGTGTGTGTGTGTGTGGGAGTGAGTGTGCTTGTGTGTGTGGGAGTGAGTGTGCTTGTGTGTGTGGGAGTGAGTGTGGGTGTGTGAGTGAGTGAGTGTGTGAGAGTGAGTGAGTGGGTGTGCATGAGTGAGTGTGAGTCAGTGAGTGTGAGTGAATGAGTGTGTGTGTACGATTGGACGTGCATACATATAAAGTTGATATTTATGTACCAGACCATGTATTATGATGTATTTGAAATTATTAATATTGTGACAGTGACGGTCATGACTAATACGGAGTCACGGGCCAGGTCACTGAGGTCAGACTTCGTAGGTCAACACTCAGCAGTGGTGAGTGGAGCTTGGAGTATTTAATGGAGTACGAGTATTATATTACTGGAGTTTGATTGTGAGTGTCTGTGAGTGTGAGACTGTACATTTGTCAGTCTGTATCTCTTGTGAGTGTGATATGATTGATTGATTGTAATGTAACTGTGACTCAGTGACCGTCTTTATTTGGGACAAATCAAATATCGAATTTTGAAAATCTGCACTCAAAAAGCAGTCCTATCGTTGTGAAAATTGGGCCGTGAAATGAGTGATAGCCAATCAAAATTCACAAGCGGGCGAACACGACGCCTGTGCTTATGAACGCCTGCGATGCCTGCACATGCAAAATATATTTTACGCCTCAAACTGGTAATGCAACACCTGCATTTGTAGCCACTGTTATATAATATGAAGTTGTTCACTTTACACGTATGTAATAAGAAGTATTAAACAATAACAAAACAAAGTATTTATTATGTATACATTGTGCATGGTTGTACTTTATTATTAGCATACGATCATTTGATCTGTATATGTGTGTTTGTTTTATTATAATTTTATCGATATGCAAAGCGTTTATTTGTGATATGTGTTTAGTGTGTGTGTTTCTCTTCGCCCTCTTGTCTCTATATTTGTTCATAAATATTTATATGTATACGTGTGCATGCATGAACTTAATTATATATAATATTATTCGATCTGTACATGTGTGTATTTTATTGTATTTCTTGGATATGTACTGTGCATATATGTAATATGTGTGTAAAGTGTGTGTTCCTCTTTACTCTCCTACATATGTAATAGTTTGTTTTCGCCCTCTTGTCTCTATATTAGCTCATACTCATTTATATGTATACAGGTGCATGCATGAACTTCATTGTAAAAAATTTATTATTTGATCTGTACATGTATATGTTTTATTGTATTTCATCGATATGTATTGTGTTTATTTGTGATATTTGTGTAACGTGTGTGTTTCTCTTTGTTCTCTTGTCTCTATATTTACTCATAAATATTTATATGTATACATGTGCATACATGAACCCAAATATACACATACATAATTAACAAGCTATCGACCACGTCCCATGGCGGCATGGCCATGCATGCTGCATTCAGCCGTTCACAACTTCACGGTTCACGCAACTATTCAAATTTCTAAAACTTTATTTCATAGCCTTCTGAAAATTGTACAAGAAAGCTATGTTTGTGTATATATTTGTGTTACAAATAGCTGTGGTGGGTGTGTTGCGCGCCAAAAATAATCAGGACAAAATTCTAACACCGTCCTGACCTGAAAAAAGCACCTGTCTATGTGCAGTCGGTACCAACTAATTATAAAAGTTACAAATTAAACTTAAACATTGGAAAATAAAAGTTTTATCGTAAAACTTTCTGAGGTTAGCTGTGAGGTGCCACTGTGACTGAGGCTCTGAGCCCTGAGGGCTGTGAGGCTGCCGCTGTGAGGCTGTTCCACTGCGACTGAGTGATACTTGTGAGTGATTTGAGGTGCGAGCCAAATTATTTTACAGATCTCACTCTATACCGCCTCCCCCCCCCCCTTAAAAAAACAAATGCTAAAAAAGCCAAAAATAGAAAAAAAATTTCTCGGAAAAAGACTAAAGTCTCGATTTACAGAACAGCAACCGTATCAAAAATGGGAGAAGTCAATTTTTTCAACATCGGTTTGGAGACGAGAGGGTGATTATATTTCCCACCAAGTTTCAAAAAATGGGACATATTTATTTCTATTTAGGATGTTAAAAAACCCCCATAAAAAAACCCCAAAACCCAAAATTCCTCCAGGCTCCAAACGAGTTTGAGACTCCAGACTCCAGTGAGTCCAGCCCCAGTGCAGCTGCAGCGCCACAGGCCGGAGGCTATTCCCCGCCAGCCTGCCAGCGGTCTAATAAAAACTCTAATTACGCGTGTGAAATAAGTAGATTATCTATATTTAGATGTACTCTGTTGCTACTTTGATATGACCAGTGATAAGCCTGGAAAGGTTGTGCAATCTTGATAAAGATGACATATGTGATATGAAATATACAATTAATAATAAAATTCGGGTGGTGATTTTTATTCGGCTCCCGGGCCCCGGGCTCAGGAGCTCAGCCCACTCAGACTAAAACGTTATTACTCATCTGCCAAAAGGACGCAATATATTTTTAGTAGTTGTTACATATGATACAACCATAGTCTTGTGTATAATTTAGAAGGCTATGATACAACGATCATGATATATAAAATACGTGTTTAGAGGTACATGCGGCATTTAAAACGAAATGTTAAAACGGGCGTCGTGTTCGTAGTAGAAGGACATCCGTGACTTAATAGCGCTTGAGCCCGACCCGTCCATACAGCTGTATGATATTTTATGGATGTACGAGATAAACATGTACACAAAATAGATCTCCACTTAGCGGTAATAAACATAGTATGTGTCGTCTAACTCTCGCAGTCGGTATTTGCAGTCTGCTATTCCTTCCGATCTGCTATGGGAGAGCTGTGGTCGTGCACACTAACATACCCACAAAACTTGAAGGTGGTACGGACACAGACGTAGGGAGTCAGTTGGGTCTAACACTCGGCATACATATCATAGACGGGAAAAATGGAGGGGAGATAGTTCTAGATAAAGTGCCCGAGCCACTAATTACTGAACAAATCTATTCTGATAATGTAAGCGAGGGAATATTGAGTTCGATGAAGGTTGCGGATGTACAACCACAACCTTCTTCAAGGACAAGCCAACAAGCGAAAGCAAGATCGAGAGCGGGATCAAAAACAAGACAAAAACACGGGCCGAAAAGTAGCAAAATAGGTGGGCCGAAAACAAATATGAATACGCTCGCATCTGGTAGTAATGGATTCATTTTTAATAATCATGAACCAGCACAAAATCCGCGGTTTTCGCAGGCAGACGATTACAAACATATTTCAGTAGGCATGTATAATGCACGCGAGGAACTGAAAAAGTCTAGAAGGAGGGCGAAGAGTCAGAGACATCACAAAAGTTTGTATGCAAGAAACTGAGTCCACACAGTCAGGGCATGCAAGATACAGAATATATTCACACGGGTACTTACTTACAAGCACCTGCAAGGTACAATTGTATGTTACAATTTGGATGCTGTCTCAAACGGTTTGTTGTACTCAACCGGACCGGAGATGCATGCAGGCGGATGACGTTTGGAGCTATAAAATAGACAAGCACAACGCATACAAAGAATTGTGTGTGTTGGCGGTGATATACAAAATAGTCGGAAAAGGGCCGAGAGTCGAAGAGTGACAACACGATATATATAAATGGCACTAGCAACAAGCAATACGGATATATCAGACGTGCTACTGAAATAGCTGCCATGTACTAACAACTCCCTGTCACCTATCACACTCCCAATAACGAGGCTCGGCGAGAACCCGCCTTGCACTGTGGCTACTACAGTGATGCTGGCACGCTCTTATTATGGTGCTAACAACGAGTGGACGGCACTCTACCAAGTAAGTCACATACGATGTAAAGCCCTAAAAACTCTACGTTGCATACAAAGGAATGCTTGTCAGAGATGTATGCATAGATAAATTTAGGTGTACCTTATCGAATACCATTACGAAATTGTGGTATCATATAGCGAACACTGAAGGTATATACTAGAACTGGTGTCTTCGCTTGTGGGTGGGGTTTTGAGATGCCGCATAATCCTGAAGGGACTATTTCTCGGACGATTGAAGCAGCTCGTGTGGTACTGTAGGTCGTGGTGTATATCATACAAATGATCCTGATTGTAATGATGCGAGCTGTCTTCCAACGATATGATATGATATATATCTATCTATATATAA